AGAGAGAGAGTATGTAATGAGATTTCGAATAAATCGAGAACTTGTTTTTAAAAAAAGAATTTAAATTTTTTTTTTTCAACATTAAGTTTTAACGAATTAATTTAATAAATTATAAGTTAATTATTTATTTTTTTTATCTTTTCCACAAATAATAATAATAGTAAAAGAGAAAATTTGTTAATAGGTATTAAAAGTTTATTTCGAAAGGCACACAAAAGCTTATTCGAAAGGCACAAAAAAGCTTATTGTAGCTAACTCAATTTGAAAAAGTTTTTTAATTTGATAAAAAAAAATTAATTATTAAATCTATTAATGTAATTTGTGATGAAAAATTAAATTAAAATAATTTAATAAAATTTACTCGATGAAAACTTAAACGAAAAAAAAAAAATGGCTTTCTAGTGGGGGGAAAATGCATGTAAAATGAGATTTTTTTTTTTTTAAAAACTACATTTGTGGTTATTAATTTGTGGTTTGATACAGTTACAAAAATGTCCTTCTATTATTCTACCATCTTCTTTAAAATAAAATTAAATGTTAACACATTGTAAACCTTTAAAAGGGACATTTTATAAAACACAATCATCGAACAAAAATTCATGTCGAGAGAAAAAATTGAAGTGTAGTATTGAATACAAAGTTATTCTCATTATATTAAAATAATTCAAGTCACATAAAAATAAATCCTTAAAGAAGAAGAAAAGTATGATGAATATGTGGAGTGACTCATAAAAACCAAAAAAACAAAAGCAAAATTATTTTACGAATTATTTCCTATTGAAATATTTTTACTAAAAGTTTTAATATTAGAAAAAAAAGGGTTTTAAACCCCATTATTACTTACCCATGACTGAATAACTGTACAACAAAAAAAAACTTCAGTTGAATGAACTTTTTCAAAATTCTTCTCTTCGATATAAATTAAACACTCCGTAAATATTATTTTAATAAATTTTTAGTGTATCATCAATTAACTAACAATATTTTAAACAAAAAATATATAAAAAACACTTAACGAAACAATAATTATACAACAAAAAAAAAATTGTAAAACCCGTGTAAATGTTAAACTATAAACTCAGAACGCCATGTTTGTATTCTTGCGTTCTTTACATCACTGCCTCCTGGATTTATGAAAAAAAAGAACGTGGAATTAGAATTTATTGTTTTGACGTAACGGTTATTAAATAAATTATTTCGTTTTAAACATCTTTCAAATATATTTATTAACATTTAAAAAAAAAAAAACAACTAATTAAAAACAATTTATTTATTTATTTTTACTATGTATTCTTTCGCTTCTAATTAAATAACTATACCAATACAAAACATTAATGGCGGCAAATAACATAGGGAAAACAATACGACTCATTTTATCGATTTTACTAACGGAATTATAACGCGGTATTCTTCTTTTACGTCGTCGTTTTTTACCATTTACGTTATTTAAACTACTACTACTTCCGGGAGAATTAAAACTATGAAAATTTTGAGTTATTGCATTTCCGGAAATTCCACTCGCGGTCAAACACGGTGGTGGTTTGGTTTCGTTTTTTTTTCCAGGCGTTTTTCCTTGCACGTCAATAAAAGTTCTATTGATGGATTCCAACGTTTTATTATTTTTACGTTTCCCGTGATATTTTTCATCATCGTCTCCGGATTGTTTTTGTACTCGCGATGAAACGTCATCGATTTTAAATTCGGTTTTAGAATTTTGACTCGAATCCGAACTTCTCAATTTGATGCTTCTTTCGAATGGTATCGAATTCGAGTCTCCCGCCAAAATGTATTTGATCGCATTTAAAAAACCTTTTTTCCTTTTCCTCTTTTTCCGTCTCAACGATGGCACCGTGTAAGACGACAGCGGTATAAATTCGACAAATTTATTATTATTATTTTTTATATTTTTCGACACGTGATCATCCCCACCCTAAAAAATAATCAATTACATAATAATAATAAAAATTTAAATAAAAATAAATAAATTTTCCACAGCAATTCACAAACTTTTTCCCGTTTTAAATATTTATCATCATTATCATCATTATCATCATCATCATCGTAGTCTGAACCTGATTCTGAACTTAAATCCATTCCGAAATAACATTCACCCGAACCGTATTTTGTAAAATAATGAACGACGGCAAACTGAAAAGAAAATTTTTTTTTTTTAATTCAGCGATTGATTGATTGATTGAATGTGAATGAAAACAATACCTGAATGATTGTCGCAAATATAAAAGCGAACGAAAGGAAAACGAAAAAATCTAAAGCTGTCGGATAAGGTACTTTTGGAAGGTCCGTTCTTGCTTCCAAACCCAAAAACGTCATCGTTAAAACCGTTGTTATACCTTTTCACAACAAACAAACAAAACAAAAACAATAATAATAATGATAATAATTTATTGTTTTATCAATCGATTGATAATAATAATAATAATAATGATAATAATAGAAACCACTTTGAAAATAAAAAGGTCAGATTTATATATTTATTTTTAATTTGGGAAAACAAATCATGGGAAAACAAAAAATTTTTCAAAAGGAAATCTTGAGAAAATATAAATAATAATAATAATAATAATAATAATAATAATAATAATAATAATAATAATAATAATAATAATAACAAACACAACAATCGCAACAACAACAACAATTATTATAAAAATTCAAATAATAATAATAATAATAATAAATCTTGAAGAGAGAAAAAAAACGTTAACGTTAAAAATTTTTTAGATTAAGGAAAATAAGATTTATTTTGAATGAGAGAGAGAGAGGAAGAGATGGGGGAGGGAGGGGGAGGGAGTAAAGCAGAAGAAAAATAGAAATTTAAAACGTTTTTTACGTTACAATTAAATTAACAGAAAAAAAAATTACTCGTTCGAAAACAAAAAACAACAAAAACGAATTTATTATTTCGAATAAAAAACTTTAAATGTTTTTTTTTTTTTTTTTTCGATAGATCGATCGATATATCGATAAACCAAAAAAAAAAATTTTTTTTTTTCAGTTTCATAGAATAATTAAACACGTCGTCGTGATGATAGCAGATAAGAAATTATTAATTTTTTCATCAATCCTCACGTGACGGTTTTTTATTTACTTAAATTTTTTCATTCGATTTTACGAGGGGAGGGAGGAAGGGGCGTGATGGGGGGGGATTTTCTTTTCTAACGGAGGATGTTGTAAAAAAAAAAAACCGGAAACTCACCCAATGATACTCTGTCGGCTGTTGCTTCTCTATTGAGCCAAAACGAGACCCAAGACAAAACGACCAATAGAATGCAAGGACCGTAAACTTGTATTAGAAAATTACCCATGTGTCTCTGTAGGTGAAAACTAACGAGTAACATTGAATATTCTTCTATAAATGAAATAAAAATTACATTTTATTAAAAAAATCGATCGATAAATCGATAAATCGATACGATGATGATGATAATGATGGGAATGAGATTCAAATATACAAACTTATGGTGTAAACTCTCGAATGTACAATGTTAACTTTATCCGTTTCGTTAGCGGATATATTTGCTATCAAATCGAATTGTGATAATTTCATGTCTTCTGCTATGACGATTTGCCGTTGCGAATTCCATTTGTAAACCACGTCGTTTGTCGTGTAACCAACTGTAACGTAAAATTATTTTCAAAAAATTAATTCGTGGTGGCGCGCGGATCGCGGAAAGTGGGCGGGGTAAGAGGGCGCGCGGATCGCGCGACGGGAAGCGGTCAAACTTACAACTTCCAAATTTTAACGGACATCTTTGCGTGTCCATTGGAAAATTTTCCAAATTCATCGGACAACCGGCTTTTATCGTGAGCCTGAAATGAAAAAACATATTATTATTATTATTATTATAAGAAAAAAATCGTTGGAAGCCATCATTGATCATTTTCCGTTTTTCTTCTTTTCTTTTCTTAGTCTTTCGCGTGAATAATTGCCGAGAAAAAAGAAATTCGTGAATATTTTCTTTTCTTTTTTTTTGGGGGGGGGGAGGCGGGGGGGTAATAAATAATATTTAAAAAAATTTTCATTCAAACGGAATGAGAGTGAAAAAATATGACAAGTAAATCGTTGAACCGTGGGAAAACGCTTTTCCAACCGGAAAACTCTATAATCTCTTCATAGCATTCAACCAAATATTATTATTATTACGCATGCGCGCGTACAAATAAAAAAAAAATTTTTTCCCCCAATTTATTATTATCATTATTATTTTAATTTTTTATTTATATTTTTAGTGACTTTGAATTATTAATAAATTAATTAATTTAAAATAAAAAATCTTTTAATAAATTTTTAAATTTTTCTGTTATTTAATTATTAAAAAAAAAAAAAAAATTCGATAATAATAATAATAATGATGATAATAATAACAATTTTTATAAAGAAATATTTAACGAATTTATTTTATATTATGGTTGATTGACGTATTGTTTTTTAAAAGTATTATTATTATTATTATTATTAAAAATGACGACGATGATGATTATTATTATTATCATCGTAGTAATAAAATCGTCTGACGTCAGTTTAAAATTAAAAACGTTTTTTTCGAAAACGAATAAAAGGCAATTTAACGGAAAGTTAATAATAATAATAATAATAATAATAATAATAATAAAATTTTTTTAAAAATATTCATAATGAATTTATAAATATTAACGAATATTATTATTATTATTTATTAATAAACGTTAAACGATTTCGTTTTATGCGCGTTTGCCACGTGACGTAATAAATAATAAGGGTACGTTCAGGTATTATTGAGATTTCCTCCGTTTTTTTTTCCGCGAGCATATGAAATTCATTCGGCATCATCGTACGTCATTATGACGTCACGCAAAAATTATAACGGAAATCAAGGGTGAAAAAAAAATTTGAATGTTTTTTTTTTTTTTTGTAACGTAACGAATTTTCTAATGATGTTCACATTGCAAAAAAAAGAAAATTTAATAGATAATAATAATAATAATAATAATAATAAGGAAAAAAAAGAAAAAATTTTTAAATAAATTTATTTTAAAACAAAAACGGAAACGACGCGTGTAAATCGTCATTTTTATTATTTTTAAATACGATTTCCGGTATCAGTTAATTTTTCCCCGTTATACAAATCGTCCTGCGCGTGTATGCGTGCATGTGCGTGCATGCTGCTAACAAAAAAAAGGAAATGAATTTGTTTTTTTTTTGGGGGGGAAGGGGAGAGGGGGCATCATTAAAGGTCTAAAAAAAAAAAAAAAATTATTTTTCGAGTGGAAAACTCGAATCGAACTTGAATCGCGTGTCATTTTCCATCCGTTATTTAAACGCAAAATTTATTAACACGTTCGTTCGTTCGTTCTTTCGATTTCATTTCAAATCTTTTTTTTTTTTTTTTTCAAGTGCCGCAAATTCATTTTAATTAAACAATCGTCATCATCATCATCATCATCTCATCGTATTATTTAATCGATAAAAAAAAAAAATCATTATTATTATTATTAATAAAATCATTTCGCGATCATTACCGAAAATAAAAAAAAAAATGGCGGTTAGGGTGACTTTTCAAACGCGTGAAATTTTTTCTTTTTTTTTTTATAAAAGTTAAAAGACACGTAAAACGAACAAGAAGAAGATGAAGATGAAGAAGAAGAAGAAGATGGAGAAGAAAAAGAAGAAAATGAAGAAAGAGAAGAAGATGAAGAAAGAGAAGGAGAAGAAGATAAAGAAGAAAAATTAGAAAATCGTTCTTTTGTTCGTTCGTTCATTCATTTAAATTTAATAATAATGTAAAATTATTAAATAATAATAATAATAATAATAATAATTAATCAAATAAAGTAATCGTGTCAGAAACTTTAATTCAATTATCGTTTAAACATTTTCTATGAACTACACACGTACAAGTGTCGTAAGGGAGGGAAGGTAGGGGTGGGAGGTAAGAGGAGGGAGTGGGAGGTAAGAAATGGAAGTGGGGAAAGGAGGGAAACAGAAAAACGTCTATTTTTTTTTAAAAACAATACGACCGACGAAATTCGATTGTGAAATTATTTTTTTGAATTTTCCTTTTTTTCCCATTTTTTCCAAATTAATCTTTCATTTTGATACAGAAAAAGGAGGGGGGGGGGAAGAAGGAAAACATGAAAGAGACAAAATGATAAAAAGAGAAAATAGTCAAAAAAAAAAAAAAAGGAAAAAATTTTTTTTCATAAAAGATCAAAAAATCAAAGGAAAAAAGGAAAAAAAGGAAAAAAAGGAAAATTGTTAATCGAAATCTTTTTTTTTTTTTAAATAATAATCCTTATCAAAAATTTAATTTTACGACGCGGTTATCATTTAACTAAAAGAAAATTTTTTTTTCTTTGGGTCGTGAATTTGAAAAAATTAAAAAATAATAATAATAATAATAATCGTGTGGATATTTGTTTTTCCAAATGAAACGAGTGAGGGGCGTCGGGGGCGTGGGAGCGAGGGGGAGAAGGAGGGAGAAAGAGGGGAAGAAGAAGGGGGAAACGTTTAATATACATTATTTAATATAAAAGATGAGATTTTCCCATTCATTCATTCATTCATTCATTCGCTCTTTCATTCATTCATTCATTCTCTCATTCAAAAATAAACAAATATTAGAAAAAAAGGGAAAATAGCAGAAGATATTATTTAAAGCAATAAAATAATGACAAATGCAAAAAATTTTCCTTTCATTTCCTCTTATTTTCAAGTCCCAATTGATGAAACAATTTTTTCCCATCTAATATCCTCAAACGTTTTATTTCCGTTTCCGTTTTCTTTCCCCTCCTTCCCTCTCCTCTCCCCCCGTTCATCCGGCGTTATTCAATTTTTCTTTCTTTAATATATATTTAGGGTAACGTTTTTTTTTTTTTTTCTTTTTTTTTTCTAACAAATTATAACGCCATAAAAAAAAATCTCAACAATTTTTTTTTTTTTAATAAAAAATGATTAATTTCCCGTGTCATTAATTAATTTCTTACAAAATGTTTATGTGAAAGTTAACAAAAAAACTCACCCCCTTTCCCTCCTCCCACCCCTACCCTTCCCCCTCTCCAACCCCCCTCTCTCCACCCTCTCTATTATTTTTTTTTTCCTTGTTGTTGTTTTCGTTGGAATTTTAAATATTTTATAATTATTATTTATAATACCATTATTATCATTATCATTATTATTATTATTATTGTAATTATTTACCTGCTGGAATAAAGAACTCGTCCATCTTGATAAAGTCTAACGAATTTATTCGGAGTCGTTATCGTGTGGAGATAAGATTGTTTACCGTTGTAAAAATACGTATCCGGTTTCCATATTTTCTCCAACATTGTTATGCTCAACGCCAAAGTTTCCTTGTTTCCTTTGAACGCTAACCTTTTATCAATCCAAGATTGTCTAAAATAAAGATCCATCGAATAAGTCTGCAAATACAACAAGAAGAAGAAAAAAACTATAAATAAATGACGTCACACGTACGTATTCCCCTCCCCCCTCCCCCCGAAATAAAATAAATAAAATAAAATAAAAAAAATTTTTTGCAAATGTTTTCTACGCGTTTTTCCACACACACAAAAAAAAACCGGAAATGAAATTTTATTTTTCCCCCCCTCCTCCCGTATCGTCAATCGGTTTCCGTTTAATAATAATAATAATAATAATAATTTTTTGCGTGCGTTTGTTTGTTTGTACGAAAGATTTTGTTGAATTTTTTTTATTATGTTTTTTTATTTTTTCACATTGACGACCTCTTTTTTTTTTTTTTTTTTAAAGTCAAAAAATGTTTGTTTGTTTGTTGTTTGTTTAGGTCGGTTGTTATAAATTCGTTTAAAAAAAAAACTTAATTAAAAATAATCGTAATTAATATAAATAAATAAATAAAAACTCACCATATCAATTTCCGAAATCGGGCCCATGCTTCGTACCATAATGTCTACTTCCACGATAGCCGGAGGACCTTAAAAAAAAAAAAAAAAAAAAAAAAAAAAAATTTTTTAAATGAAATTGCGGTTACCCCACACCCCTCCCCTAACTCCTCCCCCTCCCCCCTTCGTCCCCCCAAAAAAAATTTTTCTTTATTTTTTTTTTTTACTCTTTTTTTTCCCTACATAAATTAATTTTTTTAGGTTCGTGCGCAATAAATTTAAATTTACCGCTTCCAGGTTTTTTTCGTCTGCTGCTGCTCCCACTATTATTATTATCATTCGTATACGACGAATCATTAAATTCATTTCTTTTTAAAAAATAACCAAAAAAGAAAAAAATATTTGATTTTATATCGAATTAATTTTACACACGCGAAAAATAAGCGGATGTCACGTGATGCATATCGTCATTTATTGTTTATAAAGGATTTAACGAAAAACGAGAGAGAGAGAGTGATTCTGATTGGTTGAAATTTTTCATACGTACTTATTACGTCATTTCAGTCGGTCAGCCATTTTGTTTTAGCATTATGTAGACATATGGAAAAACCGTTAATTGTAACGATAATTATTTTTCTTTTTCTTATTTTAAATTAAATTTGATTTTAAAAATAAATAAATTATTTAATGTTTTTCCGGGGGTGGAAAATTATGCCGGAAATAACTTTAAATAAACGTGTCACAAATTATTATATATTTAATCGGTAAAAAAATTTAAACTTCCGCCAAAATCTGGTCTTATTCTATTGTCGTATCCGC